GCAAAAACAGTCACAAAGAATGCTGATTTGCCTGGAAAAATTCTTACAGGCACATGCTAAAGCTACTTAGAAACCCTAGAAAGGAAAAATCCTAAATCAAAATAATTAGCCATATTTTCAAGGAGACTGATGCTTTAGAAACCCTAAAAATGTTCTATGCAGTCAAGTCATAATGATTTCATTTCAAGTCACTTTATTCGTTTTTCCGTGTTTTTTTTAAGYGCAAGATATGAGGTTGGGGATCGAACTCACAATTATCTTGGTTGGAGATATATACCAATTTCCGTTGATTTATAATCACTTTGACTTATTCGTTTTGAGTTTAAGTTGACATAACTTATATTTTATATGTTTATCCTAAATTTTAGAATGGTTAATGGTAAATCACATTCTTCTGTTTCATTGGAAATTCATCATAATTGTCGGTTAATGTGTTTTCTAATATTAGATTGGAGTTAATATGGTTTCATATATTCAAGTTGCAATTGCATGTTTTAAAAGAATAATTAGTTTTTTCCCTAAACTTTACTTTATTAATACTCATCTCAAATGATAAAATAAAGAAACACAACATGATTTTAAAAAATAGAAACTAAAACCAGTATGTACGTATGGATGCATATATAATAGAAACTTGACGAGTAGAAAAGAAGGAGAAGAAGAAAACCTGCATGTATCCTTCGGAGCGGAAAGCATTGGTCTGTCCATCTTTCCCGTACTTATGATAGCGTTCGATTGACTTCTGCATACTGAGCCATCAAAAAAAAAAAGGAGAAAAAGAAAAGAAGATAGTATTACTATAAATAAATAAATATTATTGAGTATAAATAAAATAATTATTCACTTATTTCTATCTTTGGATGCAACATTTTATTTAAATATACTTAGTTTACATGATTTGGTCTCAACAACTTTTAGGCAAATTGTGAACTACTACTACGGGCCTGATCTAATTATAATTTGAGTCGTTAGGGAGGTATACATATATCGTTACAAGACGTTTTTCCTTCGAGTATTATGACATTTTTTTGTTTATGTGTTCTAGGGCTATGTCATTCAGATTTTGTTCTAAAATTTGAGAAATATAGTAAATAACTCTTAGGGGTTTGCTAGCTACCTAGGAAGATCCTTATTTACTTAAATTAGAGAAAATAAAAAGAGATTAGTGAGGTAAAGTTGGACTCGTTTGTCTTTCGACTCCACCTTTGATCTTAATTGTACTAAAATAAAAAATAAAAAAGAGAATGTATATTATTAATATATGTGGGATATATTAATAAAAATATTAATTAAGAATTTGAGTAGGACTCAAACAATTAATATTTTAATATATAAGACATTAAAAAAAAGACAAGACCACATGAATTTGAATAAGATTTAGTTATATCCTCACCATCTATATAAATAAGGCCCTTCGCAAAGTTTAATTATTCGATTTGAGATTTTTTCTAAATGATATTCTCTCTGAACTTTTCCTCTTTCTTTTGGGAGTTAAAAAAGGGAAGAAACTCTTAGATTCTAGAGTTATAGTAAGGAAGATCTATTGGAGATGTACATTGGTGTTTAGTTTTATATAAAAATTCGGACCAATACATGATTTCTAAATTATTTAGAAATCAAAGCCTTTCGCTGCGGTGAATTGTGTTCATTCCTTGAATTGAGTGTGAGGAAGAACAAACCAATACTCCACAAAATCAACCAGAAACAGTAGCCATAAATCTAATAAATGAAGAAGAAAATTCTCTTGTTCCCTTCATAGAGAAGASAATGTACTTGAAGAAGAATTCCTCAACTCTGATGCAACAAAATGCCCCCAGTCTGATAATCAAATGGAAGCTGCAACCTCAAATCTATCACCAATTACTCCCAATCAGCAAACACCTACTACATGTTCATCTTTTTTCTTCTCTTGGCTGTACCATCACTTCCAGCTCAATGTTGGGATGAAATCTTTCAGCTCCAAATCATCAAATTTCCAAAGGCAACACACATGCATACAAACAATGGTCACGATAAAGAAACTTCATGACAGCCGAGTTGAATCCGCCTCTCTATTGAAAAATCAGTTCCAGCTATCATGGAGGAAGAAATGAAAGCCCTAAGAAAAATCATATTCGGGACCTTGTTGATCACTCGTCCCATTGTTGGGTCAAAGTGGATCTTCAGGACCAAACTAAACTAAAAGAAATATGAGATATCTGAAAGACATAAAAGCTTGCTTAGTGGCTCAAGGATACTCCTAAATAGGAGTGGACTATTATGAGACGTTTAGCCCTATAATTAAGCCGACTACATACAATCTGACCAATCCTTGCACTAGCAATCACCTATGGATAGAATTTAGGACAACGCGAGGTCAAGAATACCTTCTTCCATGGCTTCCTAAATGAAGACTTGTACATGCTTTAGCCCCCTAGCTTTCATCATCCAGAAAAGCCACATCTAGTTGGAAAAAACTTAATCGTTCACTGTACGGTTTGAAGCAAGCCCGAAGAGCATGGTTTGAAAGTCATCCCATTTATTTCTTCTCCATATCGGTTTCTCATCTCCTTCCTCTGATCTTTCACTTTTACTTTTTTACAATGGAGCTACTTTTATTTTGATGCCTGTCTATGTCAATGGTATAATTATGACATTATGATAGTAACAAATGTGAAATGTATGGAGAAGGTCATTGACCAACTTAAGCTCAGAATTTTCACTGAAAGATCTCGGTCACTTTACTACTTTCTTGGTAGCTGATCTTAGCACACCTATGGCTGCCACAACCTCAGAAGCTCCAAATGACAATTACGACATTGACCCTACTGATTATAGACGCATGATGGAATATCTTCAATATCAAACACTTACGAGACCCAACATAACTTTCGTTGTAAACAAAGTGTGTCAACACCTTCAAGAGTCCAAAGTTAAAGGATTATAAGGCGGTCAAAAAGATATTGAGATACATCAAAGGCACACTAAGGCATGGTATAATCTTTCACCAAAATAGCTTCCTATATTTTTATGCTTTTCGTGATGTAGGTTGGGTGGATGTCGCGACACTAAAAGAAGCACCTTAGGTTCCTCTATCTTTCCAGGTTCAAATGGCATATTCCCGAAATTGAAAGAAGCAAGCCATGTCTATAGCAAGATCAAGTTTTGAAACGGAATATCATGCACCATGGCTCGAAATTATCGCGCTCAAACCTCCCTAACTTCTAGTGACAACATAAGCGTCCTATACATGGCCAAGAATCCCATCTTCCATGCAAGAACAAAGCATATAGAGATAGACTACTATTTTGTAAGAGAGTCAACCTTGGACATTCCAATTACCAAATACGTGTCTGTCTTCTGACATATCTACAAAACCGCGGCTAAAGCCTGCTTTAAGGAGCTAAGAAGAAAACAAGGAGTGTATGAGACACACTCCAGTTTGAGGGAGATGTTAAAACATAACTTTAAGCAGCAAACTCTCTCTAGTGACACAGCAGACTTGTGACAGAAAACTTGCTTACTATGAAATGACCCTTAATGACAATTATGTTCCAATCAATCAGACACTACAAGCACCCAACTGTCAGTAACCTTGCTGACTTACAGACGTTGGTGGGTTCCTTATAATTCACAAAATTGAAGCAGATCCGACCAGCCGCTTATTTCCTTTTGTGGCTTCATTATTAGGAAATCTATGTAATTACATGGGACTAGCGGTTGAGCAATTATATTGCTCTTTCCTTGCAGCTTTTATTTTCCTTTTCTGCCATGTTCGTACAACCATATTAGGTTGATTTCTCAGCTTGATTTTTAATAAAAAATAATGAGCTATTCATTCTAAATTGATCTGAAAATTTTCAAATCATACCACATACTTAACCATTCTTTTATTTATAAAGTAAAGAAAAGGTTTTGTGGGAGTGTGTTAGAATCTTTGTGTCCTCTTGGGCCTCTAGCACTAAAGTCTTTTGAAATTATGCTGTAATTTTTGCATTGGGAAAGGGCTCGTGGGGCCCGAGTACCCCACGTATATCCACGATGATATGATATTGTCCGCTTTGGAGGTAGTACTCACAGCTTTGCTTTTGGTTTCACTCCAAAGGCCTCATATCAAGGAGATAATTGTCTTATCTTATATACATACCCATGATCACCTCATTCCCTAATCAATGTAGGACTTTGTTTGCATTTCCCTTACAAACAGAGCATCGTCTCTCCTTTTTGTTATGATAACAAAATTAAAGCTAAGTTTTTGATAAATAATAATAAAACAAATCGTATAGAAAAGGTATTAATAAAATGGTTGACGAAAATGAAAATGGATAGAGAGCGATTTAGAGTACGTGGGAAAGATGGAGAAGTATATAAGAAGGGGAGTAGCCAACTAGTGAAGGGAAAAAAAAATGTCATACGGACGAGTAATAAGAGAAGTAAACAAGACAAAAAAAGATATAGAAAGTACATAGTAAGAGAAACTATGTACATTTTTGTGACAAATTATAACCATCTAAACCTAAGTATAGTATATACGTAAAAATAATCATAATTTAATGTAAAAACGCATGTTACATTTGTAAAGCAAAAAATTAGAAGAAACTTTTCTTTCAAAATATGGTTAAGGCTTTTAAATGTATATAGAATTTAGGGAATACAAAGCATAAATTATTATTACATAAATTTACATTTTTTTAGTGCAACGATGTGAGGATATGGAGATTGAACCTTTAATCTCGAGGGAATGAGTTATGCCAATTATCATTGAGCTATACATACTTATGTTGGTACTACATAAATTTACTTTCAGTGAATCAAAGACCATAGGAAAAAGAAGCATATAATATGACCACAAGGGAAAATATAATGAGGCATGGAATATAAAAATGTGTATGTATTTTCTAGGATGCTGAACAAAAAAATTCAAATGTGTTAACAAAGATTTTACAGATAACATGTCACTTTTGTAATGAAAAACTAGAAAAGATTTCTAAAATAATTTTTAAGATTTATGGAAGTAGAAAGCATAAATTATTACCAAATAAATGTACTAAAATAAAAAAAATTGACACACATAAATGAATAGAAAAGTGAGATAAAATAATAATAATAATAACGAAAAACAAATCTGCATATATTGGTAGGTTTTGAAAACATTTAAATTCTACATAAAACTAGATTATACTTTTAATATTATTGTTTTTTCATCATTAAAATTTAAAGCTATTTGATGATAATAATAATTTATAACCTATATATATAGAACAATGCATACCTTTTCTGTTACAATAAAACCAAAAAAAAGTAATAATAATAAATAAAATTAACCCACCATAAAATAATTCATATTTTAAATTGGCTCTTACAGTTTATGCATCAACATGAACACAAAGTTAATCGCTTTAACTACAAGTGATTGCAAAAGGTACAATTAACCCATAAAATCATAGTCATGTATGACCACAACACACAAACAAAACAGTACAGTTAAAAACAAAAAACAAAACCAAATTTCATTCTTTTAATTAATTAATTAATTCAAAAATCCCTAATAATAAAGCAACATAATAAAAAGAAGTAGTACTGCGGTTTGGTTTCCCAGGAGGCAAAGGGAGAAAATCTTGCAAAATCATAGATGAAATCTAAGAGGTACAATTTGGCATAAATATTTGACAGTGAATATTAGATCTGGTTTTGATTACTCATGCAACCCTCCTTTCGCCCACCTCACTGATTCGAATCGATTCAATTCGAGCATAGCTGAATGAATAAAGTACTACAAAACGCATCTATTACCTTCTCTAGAGTTGAAACCCGACCCCGTAAGATCAAAAATAGAAGAAAGAAAGCGGAGGGAACGTACTCGGAGCTGGAGAACTCATAGAGCCTGCCTTTCTGAGAGAAGATGAGGACGGAGACTTGAGCATCACAAAGAACCGACAGCTCGTACGCCTTCTTCAGAAGCCCATTTCGGCGCTTTGAGAAGGTCACTTGCCGACTTGTCGAATTTTCAATCCGTTTCATCTCAACTTTCCCCCTCACCATCTCAGCTCAATTCTTCTCTAAACAAAATTTCAAGTTTAATGCTCTATTTAGACACAAAAACAAAAAAATATATATATAATGGGAAGATTGTATTATTCTTACCAGAAATTTGCTTCAAGAGATGTTGGGATTCAGCTCAAAGAGGAAGCTTTGGCATGGGTTTTTCCAGAAATATGGGAAGTTCCAAGTGAAGAGATTTTTTAGGGAATACAAGGAAAATATGGGGTTTTGTTGAAGTTAAAAAAAAAAAAAAGAACCCTAAAAAGAGAAAGATTTGAGAGACAAGGGAAAAATGGGGGAAGAGCTTATGATTGTGAGTGGGGGAAATGGGAATCTATCCCCTTCTTCTTCCTATTCTCAACCAGCAAAAACTAAAGCATTTACTTTTCCTTTTTCATGCATATCTCATAATTTCTTTTCCCTTTTTGTCCTTGTCCCAAAGCCAAAACAAATATTAATTTCTTTTCTTTACACAAAAAAAGAAAAGAAAAAAAAAACAAAACAAAAAACTTTTAATAGGACCATTTTCTAATTGTTTTTCACTCGAGTTCAATGTTCAATGTTGGTTGAGATTTAGTAAGCTGACTTTTCTTTCAATATATTCAAATAATTTTGGAAAAGAGTTGCTATTTTGTCCATTCTGAATTAATTACAAAAGACTTGTCAAAAACATGGAGAACTGGTAATAGTACTCAACTGATTTTATGTAGGGACATTGAGCATTAAAAATGCTAAATTTTTGTACGAATGAAAATTTAAAAAGTACAGTAAAGTTTAGACGGATGGAAGTTGTAGCTTTGCAAATAAAGTTGAGACATTAATTCAAACGTAGTTCGGTATATATTATCATATCAAATATTGATAGTTTTTTAGTAAAACATGTGAGGGTGAGGGATCAAACTCACACCCTCTTGAAAATATATGTCAATTACCGTTGAACTAGTTTTGACGTTTATAGCTTCATGTTTACTCATTTTACTAAAAATGTTTTTGTAAATGTTATTAAAAAAAGTATAATGAAGTATTAAATGCTCAAAGTTTATGTCAATTATTCATTACAATAATCAATGAAAACTACGAAAAGTTGAAAACAAACTTCATCAACAATTAATTATTTACGGAAAACCCCCTTTTAACAAAACTATTTATTTTTACTTACAAAAAATATTTATTTTAAAATAAAAATTTGCAATTATTTCAGTGAAATACATATTTATTAATATTTTTAGTTCACAATTTCCAAATTCATCAAAGCTATCCAGGAAAGGCTATTATGATAAAAAGAGATTTTACCTTACTTCAAAAAAGAAAAAAACAAATGAAAATAGGGTAGAGCATCATTATGATTTATTTTCTTTATTTTATTTTTTTGAATTTATATATCTTAGTCTGAGTTTTTTTTTCTTAGTGTTGTCAGCAAGGTTTTAAATATCGATGTCGATGAAAATGTTGATGTCTCAATTTCATAGAAATATCGAGATATCGATAAAATGTTGATATCGATGGACATTCCTGTAAAAGTTAGAAAATTTTAAAAATTGTAAAAAATATTTAAATTAGCAAAGTATACATTTTTCTAATTCTAAATTAGTTAAAAATAATTAATTTCAATATTATCTATATATTAGTGATATTTTGTTGATATTTTTTATATTTTGTCGATTTTTTATATTACATTGGAAATGTCGATTTACTCTTCATGTCGATGTCGATCCTATGAAAATATGGATATGTTAATAGAAATATCGACATATCGATGGATATTTAAAACTATAGTTGTCATATAGTTTAAAATTACAATTTATTTTAATATTACAATTTATTTTAATAATTCAAATAGAAAGAATACCTTTGAATCCATTTTACAAGAATAACTTTACTTTGTCTTTTGAAAGACTTTTCCCTTTAACGGAAAACGAGCAGCGAGGTCTCGATACTTGAGACTACCATTTAATGAAACATAAGATTCTTTTTTGGAATTTAGTTTTTAATTTAAATATTTTATTTACATGAAAATTGTAAATAAGAGATTCACATTTTATTTTATTTTATTTATTAATTGAAGGTAGGATATTAAATTTTTGCCCATCATATTTAGATTATCATATTCTTGGTTCAAATATTTATTAAGGATAAATCAACGTTCGTTTTTTTAATACAATGCGTGAGTGAGGTTCGAACTCACACCCTTTTAAATAAATAAAATATCAATAAATAAATACTAAAAAAATTTGAATCCTTGTTCTCAATAAAATAATATGCATGAGTGAGGTTCGAACTCACAACCTTTTAAATAAATAAAATATCAATAAATAAATACTAAAAAAATTTGAATCCTTGTTCTCAATTAAAATATTATTTTATGAAATTTTTTATTTCTACAAAATTTTTCAAAAATATGTATAGATATTGGATAAAGTTGAAACTTTGATACGGTCGATATTGAAAACTTTGATTAAAATACTATTTTGATTTGTGTACTTTCAGCTTCGGTTTATTTTGATTTCTGTATTTTCAATTTTGGTTCATTTTAGTTCTTATACTTTAAAAATATTCGTTTTAGTCCCTATACTTTTAAAAAGTGACCATTTTAACCATTTAATTTTATTTTTAATATTTTTTACCACAATTTCAAAAGGAAACTAACACTCAATAGGGTTTCCGTTATACTAAAATAAACCAAAATGGTAACTTTTTTTAAAGTATGAGGACCAAAATGAATATTTTTAAAAGTACACAAACTAAAATCTAACTAGAGTTAAAACTTAAAAGGTACAAAAATTAACATTTTTACTTTTGAGAGTAGTGGACCAAAATGACAAAAACTGAAGTATAAGTACCAAAATTATTTTAACCTAAAAACTTTGGACATTATTCATTTCTATACTATCTATAAAATACACAATAGAAATATCTCCTCATTTTACCTTTTAATTTTAATCATTTTCTCAATTACTTTTATAACAATTTTGTCATTCATCTCTGTTTCCAAATTCTCTCAATTTTCATCCCTGCTCTCTCGCCACGCCATTATCTCTCTCAAAATCTCCTCAAATTCCATCAATTCTCCCTTCATCCATCCAAATTTCTTACTCAAATTATAAATTCATTTAGAATTTGTAAATGTTGAGAAATAGTATTTAGAAAGAGAAAGAAAAAATTAGAAGGATGAATATCGAAATAAAGAGAAATAAATTTGTAAAGATTGAGAGATGGTATTTAAAAATAAAGATAAAACTAGAGAAATTTAGAGAGAGATTTGTATTCGAATAACAAATTATTCATACATCGTACGTGTTATTCATTAGTAGAAATAAAAAAATGCAGATATATATATATGTAATTTTATTTATTTATTAAAATTAAAATATTTTTTGTGATTAACCCAGACAACAACACAAACAATATGTGATAGCGTGCATGTAACCTCGTTAGTCATCTCGTTTCGGAAAACTAAGAAAAAAGCAGACAAAATTCAGACACAATTGACACGGTCTGAAATATATATATTATTAGAAAATTCTGTATTTTATGGGCAAATTCCAAAATTTCATTTTGTGAGAAGTATTAATTAAAAAAACCCAAAAAAAAAGTAGTTTTTATTTTTTTGGTACAATGATGTGGGTAACAGCCAATGAAATGTCGACAGCTCAACGGTCAATGTTGTCCCTACGATGCTATTCTCACCAATGGGGTGCGACTGTCACGTGAACTCCTCGTGCGACGTGCTTTGCTTCGGGCCCCACTCTATTCCTATGGAAATTGACTCGAGCTGGACTTTCTGTTATATATTTATGGTAATCAATTATTTTGCATAATTCCAAATTTATCATCACGTGTTTGTTTTTCAAGTTCTAAAAACAATAAAAATAAAATTCATAATTTTACCCTGTATTAGAAAAAAAAAAGGAAAATTTACAGAAACCAACTGCCAATTTGAACATACTTCCATTGGTCCCAATCCACAGGTGTTTTTTTATATCAGATTTTTGTTTTCTTAGTTGAGATGTGAGTCTATATCGATTTCAAAATCAAATTTTCCAATGATTAATATTGTGTCTTTTAAAATTTATAAAATTAAATAAAAACTTGGGTTAAATTATAATAATCATCGTCGGATTATAATAATCATCATAGTTTGAGAGCGGTTTGTGCATTTTACAATACTTGTGAGTAACATGTGCGATGGAAATTAATTATTTTATTAGTATTGTGGGAATTTTGTCATTCAAATACAAATATCTTTCTTTTAATTCCTCTAATTTTCTCTCTCCTTCTAAATACTATCTCTCATCTCCATCTTTATAGTTTTTTTTCCTCTCCATTTCTATTCCTCTAAATTTCTCTCTCTCTTTTTAAATGTTATCTCTTCAATTTTACAAATTCAAATAAATTTAAACAAATGATAATTTGAGTAACGAATTTGGATATAGGTTACGAACAAAAGATTTAAAAGTGGACGAGAAAGAAAAATAATGAAAAGATCAAGAGAGATATAAATGAAATTTGTGAGATTGAGAAAATTATTTGAGAAAAGTCAAATTTATAAAAGTGAAGAGGTAAATTAGGAGGGAGGGGAAGAGAGAATTTTGTATTACGACAAAATTGTGCTGAAATAATAATAAAAAAGTTAATTAATAGATTGTATATTATATTATTATTTATAATTTAGATGGGTGGTGAAAGAGAGAGTAAAAAATTGAGAGAGAGAATGGTGGGTGGAATTTGAGAGAGAAAAAGAGAGAGATTAAAATTTAATGACAAAATTGTCACCAAAGTAAAATGAATAGGTTTTAAATTAAAGAGCAAAATGGAGAGATATATCTCTATTATGCATTTTATATATACTAGTTTAATGGTAACAATTTTATAAGTTTTAAGATGTGATTGTAACACCTTTATATATACTAATTTAAGGTTTGATTTTGTAACATCACCTTTATAATTTATCTTTATTGTGCATTTTTATTACTAGTTCAACGTTGACATAAAAAGTGATATTTCATCCTACCATAAAAATTTCTATGAATATTAAAGAAAATGTCAATAAAGTATCACTAATGAACAAGGTAAATAATCTGGAGTAAAATGATTCAAATCTGAAAGAGTTTCATGAGAATTGTCTTAATCGTCAAATATCATTGAGAAATAGGAATAAGTGTTCCCCACCCTCGAACTCTATTGAATTGAAACTTCGGAAATGTTTGATCTGCGATAGAAACTATTCCACATCGATTAAGTCGTGAAAATGAGGTGCGAGATTTAATATAAATACCTTCATTATGATTTATTTATTAATTATTATTATTATTTTTTTTTTTGCTGAAAATACCTTCATTCACTACCTATTAAATCTTATAAGTTGGGCCTCCTATGTCGGCTTGGACATGAAGAGCCTAAGGCCTTGAATTTCTAAATCTTCTTACATTATATATTATATTTATTTTATTTTTAATATTTATTATCCCTTCTATAAATTAAAAATGATAAAATGATACTTTATTTTGAAAATATTTTTAAAAAACGAGAGATAGAAATAGTTATTAAACAATAAGAAACAGTAACATTATCAAAGTATTTCTCTTTTTTCTCTACTATTTCAACCACCTACAATTTTGGTTCATATTTTCACCCACTGTTTGCTGTTTTATTTTTTGTGCAATCCTCATATACTTTAAACCTTAACGCAAATCTTTTTAATTAGCTCATTTAATTTACTTGTAATTTAACTTAGCTTTGGTTTAATTTTTGTTTAGCTTTGAGTGGTTTTCTTAGTAAGCCATATATAAGGCAATAGTGATCCATTGTAACATAGAAGAAAATAAACAACGAGATGAGAATGAGTAAGAGAAGTTTCCCCTCTCTTATGAGTGTTGCGAGTCTCATATTGGTGTGTTTAGGCATCAAACTCGTGGTGTGATTTGAACCTTTAGGATTTAGGATTGAAGTTTTGAGTATATCATCTTTGTTGGTTTTGACCATCAAGATAACCCTAATCTTGCTTTCCTTTGAAGGCTACTTCTTGTACGGTGTGAAATGCTCTGGAGTCTACGTTTGGGAAGTTCATATAGTCGAATAATTGCCAACCATTTTTTTAGGATTGTTTGTATTAGAATTGTTTGTTAAAGGCGCGATTGACAAAGAGTGGTCACAATGCTATCCAACAATGTGATAAGTGATCAAGCTCTATCAAGACAAGATAAGAGCACGCTCTTGACAGGTTCGAGAGTGGACGTGCGATGATAATTTAAGAAGAAGCTCAATCATCCTTCTTAGAGATACACACATAGTCCTCTATTCGTAAAAAGTGGAGAAACTCTTTGGTATACAAGTGAAAACATATCCTTTGCTAAGAGGTTTTATAAATGAAGTCAAAAACTTTGCTGGGAGCTTTATGAATAGAGTCAAAAACAAAAAGACTAAATCTACGTTTTAGTCTCTAGTATCTTGGAGTTGTTCTAATATTTCAAAAGTTTCAATTATGTATTGGATTTTTTTCTTAATTAAGTCCTTATAATCACTAAATATTAGAATAATGACGATTTATGAATTTAAAAACAGTATTTCATTAGTATACCAACATTTTAATGGCTCAATTTTCTATAATAACAAACAATTTCAATATATTAGGGATGAAATCGAAACGTTTAAGAGATTAAAGACCAATTACTACGAAAACTCCTATCTCTAAAGCGAAAAATATCATACCATTACGAATATTTTATTGGCTTGGCATGTATGAATTCATATATATATATATATATATATATATATGTCATTAGTGGCTTAATTTGTGTGAAGGTTCCAAGAATTTATGACTTGTTTTGCAACTTACTAAAGCACTTCAACAATGGTTCTCTGATTAAGAGCAGTGTATCTCCAGCGCTCCTTCTCCACAAAATCTGCATCCAAAAACTGAGCAACAAAGGCCCAAAGCTTGTAAGCATCTTCAAAGTTGGTCAAAAACCCAAGAGCAGCAGTCACCACACTAATCCCCAAATTGCCCCTCCCCTTACTCTTATTCTTCTTCTTCTTCTTCTTCTTCTTCTTCCCTCCATCATCATCATCATCATCACCACCTCCACAGCTGTGCCTCCTCTCAAGAACCCTCCCCTTCTCCTCTGCATACTTCTCTGAGAACCAAATGTTGTGCAAAAACCCATATGTGAGAGAGATGTTGCTTCTGTCTGCAAGCTTCTGCACAAGAACTGGCTCCACTTTCTCCCCTTTCCAGTCAAAAACATTGAAGGCCAATGCTGGGCCTCTGTCAAATCTCACCTTTGGCCCATAGATTTTCACCAAATTGACCCCTTCCTCTGTGTTGGGATGTTTCAGCTTCATCAGTGAGCTGACCAGCCAGTTTATTAGGCATCTGGCTCTTGTGGAGATCAGAACCAGCCCCAACGAATCCACCTGATCCAATCCCCTGCATTTGCTCTCCTCTGCCTCCACTTCTGAAATTCGACCAGAAAATGAACTTGTTGATGGCTCAGCTGGAACAAGACTCACAATTCCCACACCCGAGGAGCTTGAAGAATCGCCCTCCTCCAGGATTGGAACTACAGATTTCTTTACAAGAAGACAGCCGAACCCAGATGGGTTGTCCCCAAAAACCTTGTAGAACGAACACACAACAAAATCCGGTCGGAACAGAGACAGCCCGAAGCAGTCCATGTCCTTGGGCCCGAGAGCACAGGCGTCGACAAGAACATGCCACCGATTCTCCTGCG